GCTACAAGTCCGAAGGACTAATTCAAAATTTGATTTTTCTTCTAGTATAAAGGCAATTTCGTTATTAGCATTGTGACACCCGAGAACATCACGTGCGATACGTGTCTTTACCTATTTTTTTTTTGTAATTATAAAAACATGCGGAAGCATGATAAAGCATTCACACCATTCCCAAACATGTATAATAAAATACATATGCATCTTTTTATAATATTAACATCAATTTTACAATACAACATTCGGCAAAAAAACAAAATACATAATTACTGGAAAAGGTCAAAGTCGCCTAACTTCAGCACTTAACTACTACGCCCAAAAGCTTGCCTGTACACTGACGGACCATCAACTAAGGGTCGACGACTTCACCCGACGACATTCCATCGTCGCCAAACCCTAGAGGACCATCGAAACCTCTAAGCGGTCCAACTAACTTGCCCTCAATATTCACATACTAAGCTACATAACTATGGATTATATATTCTGGTAACCCCACGTCGACCCATAAAATGGTAGTACACCTAGTATAAACCACTGGTGATCTAGGTACAACAACGTCTTCATAATTATAATAAAAAAACATAGGAGCTCCAAAACGCGGCGGCAGTGAGAGATCCATCCTACATATCTGAAAAATAAGGAGTGAGCCGAGGCTCAGTAATTGAAATCTCTAAGTCTAAGATAGAAAATTCACTCACCACTCAACCTGATATCAACAATAATTATGAGTCCTAGACGGTACAAAATACATGAATAATGATACTACCTTTCCAATCATGACATGTAAATGAAACAACAATAATTTTGCATAAAATCAATCATTCAGGTGAAAATGGATGGCATACTATATATCATATATATCGCATAACATCTCATCGATTCATATTCGTCATTGGCCAGGACCATCTCGATTCACGAGGCATTTCAACCTTGTAGAGAACCGTTTCATACGGTAGAACATCTGGCTGACTCCAGAGTCTTATCCATAGCTCATACTAGGGGTGTGTAAAAAACCCGGTACCCGCCCAACCTGCCTAGGACCGCCTGGAACCGGACCAGGACCGGTGGGTTCTAAGGGTTTCGGTCTGATTCCCGGTTCCAATTTTTTGGAACCGGTGGGTACCGGTCCGGTTCCCGGTTCAGGGTGTGGAACCGCCCATCCACCCACCCAGACCGGACCGGTATAATATATATAATATAATATTTTTAATTTTTAATTTAAAAAATTCAAAACCCTAAATCAGGATACTCTTTCACAACACAAGCTCACTCAGTCACTCTTGGTCGACACCTCTCAAGTCTCAATCTCCGATACTCTCTCCTCTCCGACTCTCACCGTCTCTGTCTCCATCGCCCGGTCTCCATCTCCGTCGGGTCCGCCGGTCTCCGTCTCCGTCTCTTCCACTGCGACTGCTAGGTCTGCTCTCTCGCTATCTCTCTCTAGCCGGTTGTCCTTTGCATTTGCTGCTCTCTCGATTTTCTGCGGGGTGTGGCTTCATTTCGCCTGAATGTGGGGGTGTATGTGTGCGAAGAAACCTGCGCACTTTGCTGGGCTTTGGATGTTATGCTGCATGAATTCCTCTTTCGCGTGTTTCAGTCGCATCTCTATTTCATGTGAATTCCTCTTTCGCATGTTTCGGTGCTTCAGTAGCGTCTTTGTTTCGTGCGATTCTCGACGTGGGTTGGTCAAATTTGCCAGTTTTTCCTCTGCATTTGCTGCTCTGGGTAGTGGGTTGTAAATGGGTAGTTTAGTTGGAGAAACTACCCATTAAAAATCATTTACAAAATGATGCACTTAGATGGGTCTTCGGTAGCATCTCTGTTTTATGATGGTAAAACGGGTAGATATGTTGGCAAGCAAGCAAGAAAGTACCAAACATGGTCTATAGCAGGATATTTGGTAGCGAAGATGATGTTGGAGGATCCTTCGCACTTGGGAATGATTTCCCTGGAAGAGGACAAGTAGATGAAGCCAGTGATTAAGAGATCTTCTTCTTGGACTTGCTGAATAAATCCCGACAGTAGAAAAAAAGACCAGAGAATCGAACAGAGAACACAAGTGAGATTAGCTTGTTCTTACGCCGATATTCTTTTGGTGATTTGCATCTTGTAGGTTTGTTTTGAACCCTTCTGAAAGTTTGGTTTTGTGTACAATAGCAACTGCTAAATTGCATCAAGCTTGCTGAATAAAAAGAAAAACATTCTGGTACTTGTGCAGTTTTATAAATGCTTGCCTTGATTATGAGCCATGCTCTCCTATCTCACGAGTGATTCTCAGTTTTGTTAACATGATGGTAGAACTTTAGGGCAAAATTTTGGAACATCCATGCCCAAAAAGATGCTTTCTTTTACCAGTCACTAGTATGTTCAAGCTGCTGGTGTTCTAGAATTGGTATTCTTCGTATTTTATGTTCGATTAAGTTTGTTATGTTGGTAAATTTCTTTTTTTTTTTGTGAAGTATTCAGTTAACAAGTGCTTGAGATCTCTTATATGTTCTCAATGTTTTGTCACCTTCAAGCCTGGTTGGGAGGCTTAACAAGACCCATCAAGCCTACCCGTCATGATAAGTTTTGTCACGGCTACGCCGTGATCGACGTCGTTTTTTTGCGTTTCGGAGTCGTTTAGATGGGTTTTCTGGCTTTAGTTTTGAATCTTGATGACCTTAAATTTTATCCGTTAATGACATGTTGCTTGATTTGAGCAGGTGATCTATTAACATGTCAATGGAAGTAGAGAAATCCTATGATGAGATAACACCAATAATTGAATCAGAATCACTAGAACATGGAGGAGGGGAAGATGACTTTGAAGAGGCATCAGATAAGGTATCCGGTTCTTGTCCTCGGTCTAGTAAGCGAAAATCAGTAGCTTGGCTTCATTTTCGTAAAGGCAAAACTGACGCGAACGGGAAACTTGAAATGTTTTGCAATTATTGTGGGACCAAGTATTTGTACCATGTTGATAATGGCACTTCAACTATGTTGAAACATTTGAGAAAGTGCCCTAAGTATCATCGCAATATAGATAAGAAGCAAAAATTGTTTGCATCACATACAGTATGTGGGAATCAAATGATAGGGGGAAATACTAGTACTGGAAGTGCTAGTTTTTTAACGACATGGAAGTTTGATCAGGAGAAATGTAGGGAAATGCTAGTTCGAATGATTATAATTGATGAACAACCATTTTCGATGGTTGAGCATGTTGGATTTCATGATTATACCAATCAATTACAGCCTCTCTTCAAGCATGTGTCGCGATTTACGGTGGCTAGAGATTGTATGAAGTTGTATTTTTGTGAAAAAAAGAGTTTGAAGGCTTCCTTTCATAAGCTTAATTCTAGAATCGCATTCACGACTGATACATGGAGTTCCCTTCAGAATTTGAACTATTTATGTCTCACCGCACATTTTATTGATGAAAACTGGAAATTGAACAAAAGAATCATCAATTTTGTGGTGTTGCCTAGTCACAAGGGTAGGGATATTGGGAAAATGGTTGAGAAATGCATTTACGAGTGGGGAATAGAGAAAAATGTGTCAACAATCACTGTGAATAATGCTAGTTCGAATGATGTTGCCATTGGTTATTTGAAAGAAAAGTTTGCAAGAGATAAACTTTTGATCTTAGATGGTGAAGTTTTACACATGAGGTGCACGGCTCATATATTAAACTTGATTGTGAGGGATGGCTTAGCTGAGGTACGCGATTCTATTGCACGTATTCGTAACGTTGTTAGGTATGTGAGAAGTTCTCCCATGAGAGCTAAAGCATTTCAAGATTGCATTGAGAAAACAAGGATCACTTATAAGGGTTCAGTTTGTCTTGATGTCTCCACTAGGTGGAACTCCACTTACCTAATGTTAGACACCGCCATAAAGCTAAGAAAAGCTTTTGAAAGGATGGATGAAGAAGATATTTCTTTCTCAACTAAGCTTAGCTCCGATACTCCAACTAGTGTTGATTGGGAAAATGCCATTATTCTTTGCAAATTTTTGAAGAAGTTTTATGATGCCACCAACAAGATGTCTGGGACTTTGTATATCACTTCAAATGATTATTTTGAGGGAATAGATTCTTTATTCAATTATCTGAAAGAAACGGCGAAGGCTTTCGATCCTAGGGTGAGAGTTATGGGTGCGAAAATGAAAGATAAGTTTGACAAATACTATGGGAGTTTTGAGAAAGTGAATATGATGGTGTTGATTGCTGTAGCATTGGATCCTAGAAAAAAATGAATTATGTGAGGTATTGTTGTAGACTCATTTATGATGATATTGCAATAGTTGATGAGATGTTTGACAAGGTGAAGTTCGCCATGGAACGTTTGTTTAAATTTTATGAGAAATCTTCTCTTGGGTCTTGTGATAAGAATTTGGGTGGTCAACTTTTGAGTTCTACTAGTGCTGGTAGTAGTTGCGATCTTTATTGCGATGAGGGAAATGAAGGGGAAGATTGCGGTTTGGATTTCTACGTGCAAGAGCCATCATATGAAGCCTTTCTTAATGAGGAGAAAAAGAAGTCTGAGGGCAACTTATCTGAACTCGATTGGTATCTTAAAGCTGAACTTGAAGAGGCTCGCGATCTTGACATTTTGATGTGGTGGAGCATGACCGGTCAAAAGTTTAAAATTCTATCTTTGATGGCTCGAGATATTTTGTCTGTTCTTGTAACTGCTGTTGCTTCAGAGTCTACCTTCGGTACATCTGGTCGTGTGCTTGATGGCTTTAGAAGTTCTTTGACTCCTAGAGTCTTGGAAGTTGTGATTTGCACTCAAGATTGGTTGAGAACGGTTATCGAGCCGATTAATGTTGAAGAGTACATCGAGAATGCGGAAAAGTTTGAGTTGGGTAAGGCCATATCTTTTCATCTTGTAATTATTTCGTATATCTAATGAGTAAATGCTTTATTTAATATCTTCTTTTTATTAGATATGGATCATGTTAACGTGGAGATTAACAGTACATAGAGTTTACATGTTGAAGCGAAAGAAATATATGTGGTGAAATTTTTCAATAATTGTTTGATTTCAATTTGTAGTTCTAATTTATAACTAATGTTGTGTGATCATCTGCATCTATACGTATTGTTGTTTTGTTTTCAGGAGGTTGGAACTTGGAGTTTTAGAGCACTCAAAGCCTGAGAAGTTGTTTGCTACTTTTATTCATGCGTAAGTTCATATTCTTCAATACAAAGTGTCTGTAAATTGTAAACACTATTATTTCAGACTTGTTTCATCTATACTTATTATTTTGTTTTCAGGATGTTGGAACTTGAAGTGAAAGAGCTCTCAAAGCTTAATAAGTTGCTTGCTCTTTTGATTCCTGAGAATAGGAAAGTTGTTGTTGTGTTTACTTGCTGACTATTGTGAACTTGTGGCAAACTCCCATGTGTGATATATAATATAAGCTACGGATGTATTTGATGTGAAGCTTGTGAAGTTGTGAACTTTGTGGGCGTTGAAGACCATATTGCATGTTCCCTTTGTTGACATTTGCTAGTGATTTGGTTGTGAAAATGCTGGTCTTTCTGTGAATTTCCTTGCATCTTGTGGGTTGCAGTCTTGTTATTGAAAGTGCTCGTCCCGCTCGCTGCTAGCCTTTTGCCGCTCGCCGCTAGCCTTTTGCCGCTCGCCACTCGCCGCGCTCGGTCCGGTCCGAACCCATTGGGTCGGTTGGTCCCGGGTTAAACCTAGTACAAAAAATGAAATAAAAAAATTATCAGTTGGTCCCGGGTTGACCCTAGACCGGACCGAACCCATTAGGTCGGTCCGGTCCTCGGTCTTAGGCTCAATAGGGTCGGTCCTCGGTCCCAAAAATTGAGGACCAACATTGTGCGGGTTGGTCCTAGGGTTAGGGGGTGGACCGGCCTAACCCAGACCATGCTCACCCCTAGCTCATACAAGGGAATTCGCTCGGTGGCGAATAGGCCGTAGCAAAGGTCTTAATTACTTAATATCAAAGACATATGTAATTAATTACAACGCAAAACACATCATGTATTTTCATAATTACAATTGCAAACAACGACATGTCAATCTATTGTCAATTCACATAATATACAATAAAATCAATTAATTATGCATCTTTCAACATGAGAACTTTCGTTTTCTTTTCACCAAGCCAATATCAATTTAGAAGAGCACTTTTGCAAGTTCTATAGCATTTAAATACTACTACTCCATAATTTAGTATCTCATCTAATTTTTATTTATTTATTTATTATCTTAACCCCCCTTGATCAAGCTCACTTTTACCACATATAAAAGCGATCATTTCTATGATTCCTAATTCTTGAAATTAGAAAATTATCCTAGTAAAATTTCTCATTTTAAAATTTTACCCCTAATTTTCGATTTTCAACCAATCAAGTCATAATAATTAAATTAAAAACTAAATGATAATATTTTTGTGCTTTAAAACACACAAACATTTTAATTACACTATAGACACCACATATTTTACAAAATTTTCAAAACTGCCCACTTTTAAGTAGTTATTACAAAATTGCTCCAAATTTGCATAGTTAAACATATGACCTAATTAAACAATTATCTCTAAAAACTAACTTAACCACTTATCAAAGTGAGATTCCACATACTGTAATCAGTCCCCAGAACTTCCAGTTTTTACAGATTCGCCCCTCAACTTTGGTGGAATTATAAATTTGCCCCTAAAGCTTATAAACTCATTTTTTTCAACCGGTTTGATTTCTATTAATTAATAAAACTTAATAACCCACTAATTAACATTAAAAATCAAAAATTAACACTGTTCACAGCCTCTCTTTATTTCTGTAAAATTCGAAATTCTTCCTTACCAAGACAACAAAATTTACCAAAATACCCTTTTTTGCCTAATTTTATCATTTTCCCACCTTTCTCATTCAAGATGCAACAAAACATACTAATAATCTCTCAAAGACATCTAGGCATGTAGAGAACTTGTAATTCAAACTCAACAATCACAATAGTATAACATACACTATTTAAACTTGCTCACACATAACATAAAATCCAAACTAAATAACAAACAATCAACCAACCAAGATCAAGAGCACTAAATAAATCATTCTAGCTTAGCCTTAGAGTTTTCACTTACCCAAAGTGAAATCTTCAACAAAGCAAACCTCTAACCACCTTGAAAACAAAATAGATACTAAAGATTAACAAATCTTATTCTTGTGAAAACAACAAAGCATATTTGATAAAGAAAAAGGAAAGGAAAATTCAACAATATACCTTGTCAAGAAGCTAGTTTGAAAGTGAGCCTGAACTTTGATATATATATTTGAAAGAAAGCCGAAAAGAAAATTTGCTCGGGAAGAAGAAGGACCAGAAGAAGAAGAAGAAGAGAGTGGTGCACGTGAAGAAGAGGAAGGAGAAGAAGAAGTGTTCTGTAGCCCTTATCTCCCAAAATTTTACCATAATTAAAAGTATTTTGGGGTCACATTAATTTACTTGGGTTGAAGACTATAGTGACAAGTAACTATAGTTATATTTAGATAAAAACTTACTAGGGTTAAAATGTAATAGGTCATGCATGATGTCATAAATTTAGATTTCCAAGCATTTCAATTAGGCATGTGACAAAATAGGGTGAAAATTAAGACATTTATTCATGCTAATATAATGACAGATAGCATAATTTGATTGAATAGAGGAAGATATTAAAGTATTTGGGTATATACTATACATTGCGGTAAATAAACGGAGAAATCGGTATTCATTTGAAATGCCGGTAAATCAGAAAATTATTTTGAAACCGCGAAAATCATAAATAAAATATAGCATAGAAGTAACACCTTAACTCAATAAAATTTTTAATGCTTGAAATTCATTCGATACGTAATTTGGAGTGTATCGGTCCTCGTTGACAATTACTAAACTAATTTTATTACCTTAATAACTCTCACTACTAAATATCTTAAGTATTATAAACTACAAAGAAAATTTCGGATGTCACAAGCATGCCCAAATAATGTTTCCATATATAGAATAGGATAAAATTTCCATAAATACATAAATTCCTAATCAAATTAAACCGAAAAAAAGAGAGACAAATATGGTCGCCCAAAGTGTAAAACTCTAGGTGGACCTCACAATAGAAAAATCACTTTCATATATGCTCAAAATTTGCTTGTCGCGACCTAACCTCCCGCGGTGCACCACCTAGGGGTTCGGCTAATGGATTATTAGCTCGGGCCCTCCCAAGCCTATTAATTCGTGACTTAGGGTTAAAGTTTTTAACGTGCAAATGTTTTCGTGCTTGGAGTCGCCACTAATTTATTTGGGATAGGTCGATTAGAAACCTAAATAAAACATAGGGAGATATGTTTTATTTCTACAAACTAGAGATTCTAAGCTCGGGGACTTGATTACTCTAGATCTAGTCTAACGCCCTTTCGGTACCTTTTCTTTTCAAAAAAATGTTTAAGCAGACAGTCTGAATCCCTTTTATTACCTAAATACTAATATGTGAAATGACAATGAGGGTACGCAATTCACCAATTTAACACACAATAAGGAAAGCAGTAAATAAATTGCTAGATTATGAGAATAACGTACCTTAAAGTAGCGAAAGCATCTGCATTGTTAGATATAAAATCATACAGATAGTCCTACTATGATTTCTAATTAACAAAGTAATCCACTCAATGTGTTATTTAGGGTTTTCTCTTTATTAAGATGAGAACTAACCTACGTGCCATGATGTGCGAATTATGACATACAATTAATGAAACCTAACATGCGGACTATATGTCATGCGGCAATGTGACCTATTTCTAATGACAGGCAAATGATTTATTTTTGGTATTTTTCCAATGAAATTCGGAATGAATAAAGTGCCTAAATTAACATGCGATCTACCCTATAAAAAGCAATTTTATTTATTCTAAAACAGCTTCTTTTTTTGGTTTTTTTTAAATTCGGAATTAAAAATTACTCAAATTAACTTGCAATTTATCCTAGAGATGATAATATAATCTATCCTAAAGTGATTCTTTTTGGGTTACTTTTTATGGAAATTCGAAATTCTAAAATACCCTAAACAATCTATTAGGATTAGAATAACCCCCAATTTAAACTAGGAAATAAATCGTCTTAAGTCCCAAAATAATTATCCTATCTTCTTGATTTATTTGGGATTCCCTAGACATGCAAAACTTCTAATTTAAATCCTAACTAATATATTTTTTTGGATTTTCTTTTAAAAAGAAAATAAATCACACACAAGATAACAATCATAAACCAACCATCCACGCGATCTGCAAGATCTTTCTTATCATGTTTGAATTAGGAAAATGAATCGAACTAACGGTCATATCTATATGGTTATAGATATTGATGGAAAGCCGACTGCTTGAATTTGGAAAGCATATAAGATCTATTATCGTATCCAAGGAGTTATGGATAGGATAACGATCTTTCCGTACTGCCACGTATCGTACCTTAGGGTTAAGGTCAAATAGTTGTCAAGATACGTTGCTGAATTAGGAAAAATTCCTAATTCGGGGTATCACATACATTATCCTAAGATATCTAGTGAATAGTTGTCAAGATACGTTGCTGAATTAGGAAAAATTCCTAATTCGGGGTGTCACATACATTATCCTAAGATATCTAGTGATCCACAGAATATTCGCAATATATTCAAACACCTGGAAATTAGGAAATAAAATATTTAAAAGAAATATTCGGATAATAATTTTACCTAATTCACAGATAACTTCCAAATTTGAACTCGGATCGAACTCGGGCTTGCGGATCACGGGACGAATCGACTGACGGTGGGCGGATGGCGGGTGCGGCGGCGACGATGTGGTGGCGCTCCGGTCAATCTGCAAAACAGAAATACGGGCGGCGCCGGTGTAGGGAATCCACGGCCACGAAAGCGACAGGGAACACCGGGATTGATCGGGGATGGCGTCGGGTGGTAAAGCGAGGACCGTTCGCGGGAGTTGCTAGTCTCAGCGTTGTCACGGTGGCTTGGACTTGCGAATGGAACTTGATGATGGAGAGCGACAGATGTGTTCTTGATTTGCAGTTGTCACATTGCTCACTCAAACTGAAATCTCCAATTGCCACCTTTTTTGTTGCCTTTTCTTCTTTGGAATTCCCTGCTTCAGATCACGTGGCCATGAATTTCTTTGACTTCTTGCTCCTGACCTTGGCTGATAGGTGGTGATAATGGAACAAAATCCACCCCTTGGACTCACGGCCTTCAACCTTCAGCTTGGATAAATCAGTTTCCTGATGATGCTTGCTGGTTGGAGACACGAGCGATCGGAATGGATGTAGCGGCAAGAGGTGGGCGTCGGACTCAGGGACGGCAGCAGATCGGAGAGGTAACAGGAAGCGGCGTTGGGCACAAAGGTGGTGGCAGTGAGGCGGCGCAGTGAAGGCGGTGTGGTCGCGAGGCAGCGTGACGGTGGGATAGGCGCGTGCGCGAGCGACTCTCTATCTTACTCTTGCTCTTGCTGTAACATCCTGAATTTCGACCCAATCCCGGGATCAATGAAATAGATATTAATTCTCATTTAATTTTAGAAAAGTCTCGCTCGGAAGTGATCACTCTCGGGATACTAACCAAAAGGGAATGGCTAACTAGGAAAATGGTGCGTGGACCAGGGACCCGATCGCGAATCCGGCACCGATTCCGAGAAACGACAAGGAAATATTTTGGGCCAATGTAGGCTGATACTAGGAAAGTGATGGATTTAGTTTGACCAACGACGTGCGATCAGATCGCGGGTGATTCCGCACGACCGAGAGTACGCGTGGCGAACAAATCCTGAACTTAATCCGAACGATCGCGACCTTCGGAACTAATGATAAATCCTCGCATTCTCTTGGTAATCGAGACCATCACGACTCGAGTAACCCTAGGTCGATACGCGTAACCCCTAAATAGCCGCTCGTTAGTGAGAGACCCTAAAATTCAAATGGAGCAATTTTGATCGCGAAATTGGATTCGGACTTGGATGTCGAATTTCGTGGATGTACGCGACTATTTTGCGAGGACGACGTCATTTTAGTGTGGCCAGCTATATTTGAAATCAATACGGTCGAAAAATGGAAATTCGGACCGGAATCGGAATATTACGATTTTGCCCCTAAGCCTATTCCTAGTATTCCGAATTTTGGGATTAATTGGAGGGTATTTTAGGGTTTAAATGTTAGTCTAATCAGCCCCAATAATTCAGAAAATATTTGACAAATGTGCCCCTAGATATTTTAGCAAGGTCGAATCCTAATCCTTGGTGCAAGGTTAAGATGGTCATTATTGGAAAGTTGTCCACCAACCATACTATCTTAGTCCAATAATTCATCTCTCTCTCTCACCCTCATTCTCACCATCACTCTTCCGGCCACTCCCCTCTCCTCTCTCCCTTGCCGAACCTCCTCCTCTTCCTCTCGTCCGTGAGCCGCCGATCGCCGGAGGAACGCCGCTGCCGTGCCACCGTCCTCAGCCGCCTTGCGCCACCCCCAACCGACCATCCCTCACCATCTTGCCACCCTCACGCCTCACTCTCTCCTTCTTTCCTTTCGCTCGGTCGCGTGGGAAGAGCCACCGCCGCCGTTTGTCGGACCGCCGCTCGCCAAGGCCAATCGCCGCTGCCATCCGTGTGAGCCGTCGCCACCACCACCCGACCACCATTCTCTCTCTCCCCTGTCTGCCATCACCACCGACCAGCACCCTTGTCGCCGTTGAACCGCCCGTCACCGCCGCAGCCGCCCAAGCGCCGCCGTGGAAGCCGTCGCTTGCGCTGCCGTGAACCCGCTTGGACCGCCCGTTCCCCCACCTGTTCGGCTGTGTTTGGAACTTAGGAAAATAGTGAGTAATTATCCCTAAACCCTAATTAGGCCATTAAGCACTTCTAAATAGGATTAGGGTTAATTAGGGATTAATTAGGGTGATTTTAGGGGTAATTAGTGGCCGGATGTTATGGCTATTTTTGTGGTGAATTTCGTGGTTTAATATGCTGATTTGGGAGTGGAATCAATGGCCTAGAATGACCGGATAGGTGGTTGTCCATGGTGGAATTAATTGGATTAAGTTTGGTCAATTTTGGGATTAAATTGTGTAATTGTTAAGAGTGCTTGGATTGACCGATTAGTGGCTGATTTGTGCTTGATTGTGTTCAATTTTATGATGCCATGTTGCGTGTCCTAAAGTGGCCGAGAATGAAGTGGCATGGCGGGCCTTGAGCATGCGAGTTTGTGTTGTGCTAATTGCATGACTTATGTGCCAATGGTATGCCGAAGCCTAATTACATTGAATTGCTTAAAATGGGCATGTTAATATGTTAATTTGGGCATGTTGTGGCTGATTTGAATTGAGTAATTCTTTGGGCATGCTAAAGTGTTAATTGAGCACGTCATGAGGTGAACTGGGCATGTTGAAATGCACGTTGAATTGGCATAAATGGTCTATGTGCCTATGATTGGAATTGGATACTCATTGTGAATTGCATTGTTGCCCGAGTGCCGGACTGCATGGCTACGCATTTCGCATGCAGAGCATTGGCTTGAGACGAGAATTGTGCGAGTATGCGTGCCTGACATGAGCATGTGATCACATAAAGTCCTGATGCGTTTTACGCGGGACGATGCCTGGTTCTACCGGAAGACGGCCAACCTGATGCGTTTTACGCGGGTTTTGGTCCGTATATGGAGATCGGTGTTGTGCCTGATGCGTTTTATGCGGGCTAGAGACACTTGGCCTGATACGTTTTGCGCGGGCCAGGAAGTGTTGGAATTGATATAGACCCGAGGCGTTTTATGCAAGTCGAACTCTTAATGGGAAATTGGCAATATGCAAGAGTGCATTGGCAATTGTGCAAGCATGTGCGTATCGGTGACTCGTGTGCGATACATGCATTAAGAAGCACAAGCATGTGCATGGCGTACGTGTGACTAAGCCTGTCGCGTATGTGCCATTACTGTGATTATTATATGCCTAACTTGCAGGGTCAATTGTGTGCTCGATCTGGGCCCAAGGGCCTAGGTCAATTGATTGTCAATTGTTACTGGTTGTATGTGTTTTGTTTGCCTGTCAGGAGGTGCATGTTAGCCTAGTTTAGGTTTAGGGGATTTTACTCGCTGAGATTCATTCTTACGGTTGTTAAAACCAACTTTTCAGACCCCCGGCCCTGAAGATGTCAGAGGTTTCTATACGTTTTGGGATTCCGTCCCGGATAGACCGGGATGTGACCGAGTACCCCGTAGGGAACGGGGATACGTATATTAAGCATTTTACTACGGTGTGGGTTGACGTGGGTGAGCAGCACTTTCAGGCCCACGAGTATATCGCTTGGTGTTTTAGGGACTATTCCGGGACCTTCGAACCCCTCAGAACTTTTGACGTCCCGTTCAACGGGTTAGGTGACCTAGATCCCCAGTGTTAGGATGGAGACCTGGCAAGCCCCGAGTATACGTTCGAGGGGAGTTCTAATTCTGGCCACCGGCCTATTATCTGGGAGGTTGACGAGCCAGACCCGATGGACGAGGAGCCAGTGGATTGGGACTCTGACCCGGAGTCGATGGAGTTGGATGAAGAGCCAGAGCCTATGGAGTAGGAGGGCAAGCCTGAGGAGATGGATTCTGAGGAGGAGCCGTCAGAGGCCGAGTTCAAGCTGGATTCCCTAGACTCCGAGGTCGAGCTGTCTGACAATTCTTTTGAGTCCTCGGGATCCGACCCAGACTGGGTTCTGTAGGGTTAGCCTTAGCCTCAGTTAGATCGGGCCAGTACCTTTTTGACCGGAGCCCCTTCTAGTTTTAGTATCCCTGACCACCTGGCCACCTAACCCTTTTTGCTAGTAGTGACCGTTGAACCCCTTTTGATCTGTGGTATGTATTTTCTGTAAATGGATAATGCATATGTTTCCCGATGTTAATGCAAGTGTATATTTGTATATTGATAATCCTGTTGCTGTTGTGCTATCTCTGGTCATGGTGTTTAATTGTACGGGTGTTTTTACGTAACTTCCGCATGTGTAATGATCTTTGTGTTGCCTGATGGGTCGGCGATGCGTCCTGGGACGTCGCACGGCAATATCGACCACGTTTGGGATGCTCGCGCGCCGTAGTGTTCGGGGTGTGACATCCCAAGTTGATTTGGTATTAGAGCAAGGTCAGCTCGGTCCAATTAGGTCGAAGCCTGGAGTGATAAGGAGCGATGACCTTGGGTAGCCAGTAGGGTGACCTTGTGTGCTAAGTGTACCTCCTGACTGTCTGTGTCTTGACTGACTGTTTGATTGAATTGACCATAAAGTACAGGTGCGGCAGAACCCGAGGTAAGTACGTGTAACTCCTTGATTGAGGTCTTGTGCTGTTTGTGCTTAGGCGCATGCTGAGTGATTGATTGCTGTTGTGTTAGTTCCCTGCCTAGGACCTTAGACCGGTTTAGCTTGGTTTAGGTCTCTAATTCCTGAATGGAATTATAGCAAGTGGGCGAGTAGTGAGGTCAGTAAAGATGAGAAGAAGAGGAAAGGAAACCCAAGGGCAGCCGAGTGCTATGGGCCAAGAGGCCAGAGATCTTAGAATGGATGAAGTTATTCAGACCCTGCAAGAGATAGGAAACCTGATGGGTAGGCAGGCTCAGGAAAGGGCCGCCAATATTGCCCAGGCTGCTGAGGCCGCAGCAACTGCTGCTGTCAATGGAAATCAAGCCAATCTTGGGCAGGCTTAGGTGGCCGGGAATAGACAGATGCACCAGTTGGTAGAACAGTTCCTAAAGTTGAAACCGCCTAAGTTTAATGGAAGGGGTGACCCTGAGGCTGCACCGTGTTGGGTAGAAGAGTTAGAGAAAGCCTTCGAGGTATTGGGGTGCACCGAGACTGAGAAAGTGACCCTGGCGGTATATCAGTTGTAAGATAACGCCAATGATTGGTGGAAGGCCACTAGAGACAGAGTATTCCCAGAAGGTATCGCCCAGACTTGGGTTGCGTTTACCGAGAGTTTTTATGGAAAATATTTCTTGGAGAGTGCACAAGAAAGGAAACTAGCGGAATTTATGCGACTTCGCCAAGGACAGATGACAGTGGACCAGTATGAAGCGGAGTTCGCTAGACTGTCCAAGTTTGCACCTAGAATGGTTGAAAATCCGCAAGATAAGGTTCGGAGATTCCGGGATGGATTGAAGCCGGATCTTCGAAGCCAAATGATTTCGTTGAACATCCGTGATTACGGGGAAATGTATGAATGGGCTCAAGCCATAGAGCGAGATCAGTTGGAAAGGGCAGCCGCTTCTGGATCGCAGTTCGCTCAGAATAGGAACAATCGCCGCTTCGGGAAGAATTTGATGGCGGGAAACAGGCGATTCGTCCTACCGGCTAGAAAGAACATTGGGAAGCCAAGCCACCAACCGAATCGATTTGGAGCTTATTTTAAATGTGGGAGTTTGGAGCACCAGATCAGGAATTGTCCCCAGCAGCGCCCTTCAGGACTTCAGATGCAACCGTAACAGCCTCGAGTAGGGAACCAAGCCGGAAATCCCCCACCGGCTAATCAAGGACGACCGCCTACGCAAGGACGAGTTTATGCGATGGCGCGAAGAGAGGCAGAGGACACGCCGGGCGTGGTCACAGGTACGATTTCTCTATGTGATCATGCTGCGTATGCATTATTTGACCCGGGGGCGACCCATTCGTTTATAGCAGAACAGTTTGTTAGACTTGTTGGGATTGAGCCTATTATGCTTGAGACTGTGCTATGTGTGATGACCCCATTGAATGATAAAGTGCTAGTGTCATTAGGGTGTCCTAACTGTAAGATAGTTATCGGGGGTAGAGAAGAAAAGATTGACTTGGCAGTGTTGGCCATGTTTGATTTTGATGTGATAATTGGAATGGATTGGCTAGTAAGGCAGAAAGCCGTAATGGATTGTGGCAATAGGGTGATCCAGTTTAACCCGATTGGGCAACCTAGATTTGAATTTCAGGGAAATCGAGAACGAACCTCGATCCCTTGGATTTCTTCGCTCGAGGTGACCAAGTTGTTGGACGAAGGTTGTGAAGGGTATTTGGCGAATGTGGTCGATCCGACAGTGGCATAACCTAAATTGGAAGAGATACCCGTAGTGTGCGATTTTTCCGAGGTTTTTCCCCAGGAATTGCCGGGTTTGCCACCAGAGCGAGAAGTGGAATTTGTGATAGAATTGGTCCCAGAAACAGAACCGATCTCAAAAGCACCGTATCGAATGTCCTTGTTGGAATTGAAGGAGTTGAAGGTCCAGATGCAAGAATTACTGGACAAGGGTTTTATTCGCCCTAGTGTGTCTCCATGGGGAGCGCCGGTCCTGTTTGTAAGGAAGAAGGACGGGACCTTAAGGTTGTGTATAGACTACCGACAGTTGAACCAAGTGACAGTTAAGAACAAGCACCCACTGCTGAGGATTGATGACCTGTTTGACCAATTGCAAGGAGCCTCAGTGTTCTCTAAGATTGATCTACGGACCGGATATCATCAGTTAAGGATAAGGAAAGAGGACATACCTAAGACCGCTTTTAGAACGAGGTACGGGTACTATGAGTTCACAGTGATGCCCTTTGGTCTGACCAATGCCCCTGCTGCCTTCATGGACTTAATGAATAGGGTATTTAAGGAGTTCTTGGATTGGTTCGTCATCGTCTTCATTGACGATATATTGGTATATTCGAAAAGCTCCGAAGAGCATGAGGTACACCTGACCGAGGTACTACAGACCTTAAGAGAACACGCACTCTACGCCAAGTTCAGTAAGTGCGAGTTTTGGCTTAGCAGAGTAGCATTCCTTGGACACATAATTTCAGGAGATGGAATTTTTGTGGACCCGACAAAGATTGAGGCGGTAACTAAATGGCCAAGACCGACATCAGTGACGGAGATTCGAAGTTTCTTAGGTTTGGCTAGTTATTATCGACGTTTTGTAGAAGGGTTCTCGTCTATAGCCACGCCGTTGACACGGCTGCTTAAGAAGGAAACTAAATTCGAGTCGAATGAAAAGTGTGAAAGGAGTTTCCAGGAGTTGAAGCATAGACTGACAACCGCCCCGGTATTAACCATTCCGTCCGGACCAGGAGGATTTGAGGTCTATAGTGACGCGTCATTAAGAGGGCTTGGTTGTGTATTGATGTAGCACGGAAGGGTAGTTGCGTATGCATCACGCCAGTTAAGACCGCATGAGATGAACTATTCGATGCATGATTTAGAGTTAGCAGCGATCATCTTCGCCCTCAAGATTTGGAGGCACTATTTGTGCGGGGAAAAGTTCCAGATTTATACGGATCATTAGAGCCTCAAGTACCTGTTTTCGCAGAAGGAATTAAATATGAGGCAGCGCCGATGGATGGAACTTCTTAAGGATTACGACTGCGACATCCTGTATCACCCGGGGAAGGCGAATCGAGTAGTGGATGCGCTAAGTCGGAAGTCGAGTATGGTGCTCATGATGGTCAAGGAATAGACCTTATTGGAAAGGCTAAGAGACTCAGAGTTTAAGTTCGAAGTGAGCCGGATGTCTAACCTGCTAGCTGCATTGAGAATCGAACCGGAGATTCAAATCAAGGTTAAGGCACTACAGTCTACGGACCAAGAGATACAAAAGATTGTTGGAATGGACGCCGCTACAAGAAAGTCGGATTTTCAAGTGGGCGAGGATGGAGTTTTAAAGTTTCAAGGACGATTGTGCGTGCCCGATGACGTTGAGCTTAAGGAGGAAATTTTAAGGGAAGCTCACCGCAGTAATTATAGCATCCACCTAGGCAGTACAAAGATGTACCAGAATCTGCGGCAGCATTATTGATGGAATGGATTGAAAAAGGATGTGGCCAAGCATGTGGCGAAATGCCTGACCTGTCAACAAGTTAAAGCACATCACTGTATGTGGCATCTGAAAATTTGTCCATTTGGGATTTATGAAATGCTGGATTTTATGAACGTACTCGTAGTTAGTTCTCGCCCGGAACTGATTATTCCTGGGATACTAACCATTAGGGAAAGGCTAATTAGGAATTAAATTCGTGCGACTAAGAGAAACTTCGATCGTGAATTGATTTTCGACCATAAAATCGCCGAGGTGACATTTTGAGCCACTGTTGGCCGATCCAAGGATAGCCAGGGGTCAGTTCGCCACTGTCATAGTAGTGGATTGCGGGTGATTCCGCGGGACCACGAAATGAATTGACGGATGATCCTGAACCTATACCAAACGATCGTGCCCCTCGGATCTAGCGGTCGATCTTCGCGATTTAAATGACAATCGAAATCGTCACGAACCGAATGGACTTACACGTGACTCGATTTATTATCAGTCACGGGTTGAATATGCGAATTTCCTTAAAAAGCCGCCCGTTAGTTTGAGAAACGCTCGAGTTACGTTTAATAAAATTTAATTATTTATTTGAGCCCAAACTGGACACCGGAAAATTAGGAAGTCACAACGGGACATTAGGACGACGTTGTGGTTGGAGCGTGCAGCTTCGGATTTGCCCGAATCCTTCAGGAAAATTTAATTTCGGTGAGAAATGAGGAAAGTGACCATTTTACCCTTGGGGATTTATAAAGGGCAAGTTTTAAGAGGGAAGGGCATTTTGGTAATTTTGCCCTAACTTTTGAGTTGGACAATTTTGCCCTTGGAATTTTATGAAATTCCCAAATTGCCCTCGGATATTTTTGGGCAAGATTCGATCTGGGCCGTCGATTCTAAGATAAGATCGAATCTCGGCCGTTGATTAAAAAGATTAGAGAGGGGCAAGATGGTAATTTGCCGGAATTGGTCAAATTTTGACCATTCAAGACCAAGACTCTCTCTCTCTCTCTCCTCATTCTCTCTCTCCTCTTACGTTTTTTTTCCCCCACCGAGAGCTCTCTCTCTCTTCCTCTCCCTCACCGCCGATCAATCCCCTCGCCGAGCCGCCACACGACGGTCACTGCCCGTCCGCCGTGCCGCCATCGCGCCACCACTGTACCACCGCCGTCCCCCTCACCCTCTCGGTTTTCTCTTTCTCCCTTTCTCTTGGCCGTGAGCTGGCCGGCCAAGGAAGCCGCGCCGTTGCCGTCCGCCCAAGCCGCCGAGCCGCTCGCCGTTCGCCGCCGTCCCCGTCGATCGTCGCCGCTTTTCGCTCTAGCCGCGTTAGTCCAGAGTTTCGGTAAGTCGCGCCCTAAACCCTATTTAGGACGTCGGGTATCGACGGACAAATTGAGGTGTGATCGGGTTTAATTAGGCGCGGATTTGTATGATTTTAGGGGGGAAGTAGATTAACGGGCCTTAGAGATGAATTTGGGAAATTTTGGTGGAAAATTTGGGGTTAAGAGCGGGCTGTGGGTGGTTGAATTGAGTGCTGTGGTGTTGTGTTCGGTACGTAAATTGGATATTTGGATTCGGCGACTAAATGTGAGAAAATGTCGTGAAGGGCTGGAATTGATTCGCCGAAGTTTGGAGGTGGAAAAATGAGAAAATGTATGTTGATTGTGTGTTTGTGAAGTGGTTGAATTGTGGTGATGAAATTGGGTGCATTTGTGTGCAATTGATTGATTGGAAATATGCTTGACTATGTGCATGCTCGGGCAAAATTGAATTAATTGTCAAATGGCCATATTGGATGCTTATTGAGCATGAAATTGTGTGTGAATTGATGCGTGCACGGGCCACGTGTGATTGGCCAATTAATTGGCAAGTGAGTGTTGAGCACGTGAATGAGTAAGAGATTGTGTGTGGTGGCATGTGTGATTGTGGAAATCCCTGAAGCGGTACTATTACGCGGGGAATTGTGCCGTCCTGAGGCGTGTACTTTAATGCGGGACGATGCCCGGTATTACCGAAAGACTGCCAACCTGAGGCGTGTACTTCAACGCGGGTTGTGCCGTAGGTGGTGGATGTTGAGCCTGAGGCGTGTACTGTAACGCGGGCAAGAGACATGGCCTGAGGGGTGTACGGTAACGCGGGCCCTAGAGTGTTGTGATGAGTTGGTCGCAGTGGACCTGAGGCGTGTACTGTAACGCGGGTCACTGGCGAGAGTTGTGGAAAAGATGTGATGAGGTTGGAACAAATGCACGAAATATAATTATAACATGCATGTGAGTGAAATAGTGCTGTTATGCCTAACGTGCAGGTTGCACGCTGGAAAGGCCCAGGTAAGCAGAATTGTGTGCTTGCGATGTTATGGTTGAATGTGATTATGTGTTGTGATTGTCTGGAGGTACGTGATAGCCTAGGTGGGGTTTAGGGGTGTACTTATTGAGATGTAATCTCATGGTTGTTTCAACCAATATTTTCAGAACCCCGACCTGAGCCATGAATCCGCCGTCGCCGCCCCCTGAGCATTTTGGAGTTTCGATGCACACCGAGCATAATGTAGTAGAGTTTCCTATAGATGACCAGATGACTTGGATTAAGCATACAATCGTAGTTTTTGTAGATATAGGATTACTCCTATGGCAGGCCCATACATATACTGCCTGGTTCTTTAGGGACGGGATAGACGAGTTTGGACCTGTCTGCAGTTTTGACGTCCCCTTTGATGGAGTTGGGGACTGGGACCCATCTGCTATACCTCCTCCTGATGGCGAGCTGACTAGTGTAGAGACTAGTCTGGCGTAGTCTGGATTGCAGCCAGCGCCTGCAGCACCGGCGTCTTCAGGGGCTGAGCATGAACCGGAGCCGGAAGAGTCTCTAGCGGGAGACGATCCAATGGACGTGGATCTTGAAGCGATCCCTGAAGAAGAACCGAAAGAGGAAGAACCCGAGGCTGAGCCTGAGGATGAGCCTGCTGAGTCCGCAGAGCCTGAAGAGGAACCGGAGTATATACTTCCGTATGAACAGTGGATGGACCCCAAGTTCGTACCTGAGGATGATTTGCTCGAGGAGCCGGTCGAGGAGGAGCAGGACGAGGTTCCAGCTGAGTCGGGTGATATAAATCACCCAATCGAGATTGAAGCCGAGCCGGAGTCCTTGGAGGAGCAGACTGTCCAGGGAGACTCAGATTCAGATGGCGAGGAGTCAGACTCAGAGTGGACGCCTAGCAGTGGGCGTAGGGGCTAGCGTAGGGGTTGGAATTAAACTTTTTGAGGAGTACCATTTTTGAGGATAGGATATCCAGGTCATCGATCCTTTTGATATCGGTGGTTTTATAGTACGGTGTGCATATGTATATGGTGTTTGTAAATTGTGAATATTATATAAGTTTGAATGAGAAATGAATATGTGCATTCTCCCTGATGACCTCAGTTTATTATTGTTCGGGTATTTGAGGTTTCCGCTGATCGTTTTAAATCTCTGATAAGTAAATTGGGTCGGCGATACCCTGGGACATCGCGTCAATCGACCAGAGTGGTGTGTTGCGCGCTCGATGGGGTTCGGGGCGTGACATCCTAGTTGAATTGGTATCAGAGCGAGGACAGCTCGATCTAAACTGGTTGAAGTTTGGAGTGATAAGGAGTAGAGATCCTGGGGTAGTAATTTAGGGAGACCTTAGCTAGTCATAGGTCGGAATGAGCTACACGTGCCTCCAGATTGTTTGTTGTGATTGATTGAGTGAGTTGATTGTTGTGATGACTGAAATGCAGGTGCGTCTGGACCTGAGGTAAGTGCTCAGACTCTATTGATTGTGGCATCGTGACTGTAGTGGTTGATTTCCTGCTGAGTTAATTCTTGTGTTAATTCGCTGCCTAGGACTAGACGGATCTAGTTGGCCTAGGATACTAATTCCTGAGTAGAATTATAGCAGGTAGGAGAGTGGTAGGGAGTTGGAATAATGAGCAGCGAAGGAAGAGGTGTAGGAAGAGTCCCAAGAAGGGGCGCAGGAAGAGGAACAAGAGGTGGAGGTCGTGCTCGAGCTATAGCTGTAGAGGACCTCGGAATGGGTGTTAGAGCGATAGAAAACCCTGGAGTTGGTGCTGGAGTTGCAGTGGACCCCATAGTTGATGTTAGACCTGTGGAGGATCCTAGAATGGAAGTGGTCATGAGGACCCTAGAACAAATTGGTAACCTAATAGGACAGCAGACTCAAGAACGAGCTGCTACGATTGCCCAAGTTGCCGAGGCTGCTGTGGCCGCCGCCGCTAATAATAATAATGGAAATCAAGGGCAGGGGCAAATGAATGTGAATAGACAAATGCACCATTTGGTTGAGCAGTTCATGAAGCTAAAACAGCCTAAGTTTTCTGGAAGGGGTGACCCTGAGGCTGCACCTCGATGGGTAGAGGAACTTGAGAAAGCCTTTGAGGTGTTAGGGTGCACTGAGAATGAAAAAGTAACCCTGGCGGCATATCAGTTACAGGATAACGCGAATGATCGGTGGAAGGCTACCAGGATAGGGTGTTTCTAGAAGGTACAGCCCGGACTTGGGCTGCTTTTACCGAATTTTTTTTATGAAAAGTACTTCTCGGCAAGCGTTAGGGAAAGAAAACTAGCAGAGTTTATGAGACTCCACCAAGGTCAGCTGACGGTAGATCAATATGAGGCGGAATTTGCTAGATTGTCTAAGTTTGCGCCGAGAATGGTAGAGCATCCCAATGATAAGGCGCAAAAATTTCGGGATGGATTGAAAGCTGACATTCGCAGCCAGTTGTTACTAGTGAATTTGAGGACTTATGAGGAAATATTTGATAGGGCGTAGGTTCTTGAGCGGGATCAGATAGATAGGGCCGCCGCTTCTAGGTCGAGGTTTACCCTAGGTAGGGACAACCGTCAGTTAGGGAAGAGGCCAATGACGGGTAATCGACGTTTTGTCCCTCCCGTTAGAAGGAATATCGGGAAGTCGGCCCGTAATCAAAATGGTCTATGTAGGGTATGTAGAGAAAGGCATGGAAATGGACCTTGTCCAACCCGGGCCGGAGCATGTTTTGGGTGTGGTGGACTTGGTCACCACATAAGGACTTGCCCCAATCTCAGGCAGAATAGATCGCCTGCGTTGCCGCCACCCCGAAATGGGAATCAGACTGGAGCGGCCGAGACAGCAAACCAGAATAGGCCACAGGCACAAGGACGAGTGTATGCTATGGCCAGAAGAGAGGCTGAGAACGCGCCAGGGGTTGTCACAGGTACGATTTCTCTGTGCAACCATGCTGCGTATGCTTTATTTGATCCTAGGGCGTCACATTCCTTTATATCTAAGCAGTTTGTTGAGTTGATTGGAATAGAACCGCAATTGCTTGATGTTGTGTTATGCGTGACGACTCCCTTGAATGATAAGATGCTGGTTTCGTTGGGGTGTCCAAACTGTAAGATTGTGATTGGGGATAGGGAGGAAATAATTGATTTAGCGGTTCTAGCCATGTATGATTTCGATGTGATAGTGGGTATGGACTGGCTGTCTAAGGAGATGGCCGTAATGGATTGTAATAGCAGGGTGATCCAATTTAATCCGGTTGGACATCCGGAATTCAAATTTGCGGGAAATCGAGGAGGACCCTTGATTCCATGGATTTCGTCGCTAAAAATGGCGAAGTTGCTGAGTGAAGGGTGTCAAGGATTTCTAGCGGTAGTAGTTGATTCGACGGCTGAAGAGCCGAGGCTTGAGGACATAGCTGTGGTGTGCGAATATCCCGATGTGTTTCCTCAGGAATTGCCGGGATTGCCACCGGAAAGAGAAGTAGAATTTGTAATCAAGTTGGCACCTGGAACTGAGCCAATCTCGAAGGCACCTTATAGAATGTCGCTGTCAGAGTTAAAGGAATTAAAGGTGCAGATGCAAGAATTATTAGACAAGGGATTTATTCGTCCGAGTGCGTCTCCGTGGGGAGTGCCGATTTTATTTGTGAGGAAGAAAGATGGATCGTTGAGGTTATGCATCGATTATAGGCAGCTGAATCAGGTGACGATCAAAAATAAATATCCCTTGCCGAGGATAGATGATTTGTTTGATCAGTTACAAGGGGATTCGGTGTTCTCTAAAATTGATTTGAGAACGGGATACCATCAGTTGAGGATTAGGAAGGAGGATATACCAAAGACGGCATTTAGGACGAGATATGGACATTATGAATTTACGGTAATGCCGTTTGGATTGACGAACGCCCCTGCTGCCTTTATGGATCTAATGAACCGGGTGTTTAAGGAATTTTTAGATCAATTCGTGATCATTTTTATAGATGACATATTAGTATACTCAAAGAGCCTAGAGGAGCATGAATTTCACTTGAGTCGAGTGTTGCAGACTTTAAGAGAGAACGCACTGTATGCTAAGTTTAGCAAGTGCGAATTCTGGCTCAATCGAGTAGCATTTCTTGGACATGTGATCTCTAGGGAAGGAATCTCAGTAGACCCAGCAAAGATTGAGGCTGTGATGAAGTGGCCGAGACCAACGACTGTAACAGAAGTTCGGAGCTTTCTAGGTTTGGCTGGATATTATCGTCGTTTTGTAGAAGGATTTTCGGCGATAGCAACACCGTTGACGCATTTGTTGAAAAAGGAAACGAAATTTGAATGGACCGACAAATGTGAAAGGAGTTTGCAGGAATTGAAGCATAGATTGACAATGGCACCGGTGTTGACTATTCCATTAGGACCCGGAGGATATGAAATTTATAGTGATTCGTCGTTAAAGGGATTGGAGTGTGTACTCATGCAAAATGGGCAAGTAGTGGCCTACGCGTCAAGGCAGTTGAGACCGCATGAGTCAAATTATCCGACGCATGACTTGGAATTAGCTGCAATAGTATTCGCTATGAAGATTTGGCGACACTATTTATGCGGAGAGAAATTTCAGATCTATACCGACCATCAGAGCCTCAAATATTTGTTTTCTTAAAAGGAGTTAAACATGAGGCAGCGTCGGTGGATGGAGTTGTTGAAGGATTATGATTGTGATATTCTATATCATCCCGGGAAGGCTAACCGGGTAGCCGATGCATTGAGTCGGAAGTCGAGCATCGCGCATTTAATGGTCAAGGAATGGACATTGTTAGAAAAAGTGCGAGACTCGGAGTTTAGATTCGAAGTAAGTCAACTCTCGAGCTTGCTGGCCACGCTAAGAATTGAACCGGAAATCCAGGCTAAGATTAAGATGTTGCAGTCTACGGATCAAGAAATTCAAAGGATTTTAGAGATGGAGGAGACTAAGAGAAAGCCGGACTTCCAGATATCCGAAGATGGGATATTGAAGTTCGTGGGCGATTATGTGTGCCTGACGATGCGGAAATTAAGGAAGAGATTTTGTCAGAAGCGCATCGTAGCAGTTATAGTATCCATCCAGGTAGTACTAAAATGTATCAGAATTTGAGGCAGTACTACTGGTGGAATGGTATGAAGGTAGACATAGCCAGACATGTGGCCAAATGTCTGACGTGCTAGCAAGTGAAGGCACAACATTGTAAGCCAAGAGGATTATTGCGACCTTTGGAAATCCTAGAATGGAAATGGGAGCATATAACTATGGATTTTGTGACGGGATTACCAAGGAGCCAAAGAGGCCATGATGCTATTTGGGTGATTGTCGACAGATTGACCAAGTCGGCACACTTTTTGGCTGTGCGAAAGGACTTCGCATTAGATTGGTATGCCGAGCTATATGTGCCGCAGATAGTTAGTTTGCATGAGGTACCAGTGTCGATAACCTCTCATCGTGATCCTAAGTTTACCACCAATTTTTGGAAAAGTCTGCAGATGGCATTAGGATCCAAGCTGCAGTTCAGTACAGCTTATCATCCACAAACGGATGGCCAGTCTGAGAGGACGATTCAGACTTTAGAGGATATGCTCAGGGCACGTGTGTTGGATTTTCAGGGTGAGTGGGAAGAGCAATTGCCTTAGTAGAATTTGCTTATAATAATAGTTTTCAGCAGAGCATCGGAATGGCGCCCTTTGAAGCACTATATGGCAGGGCTTGTAGGACGCCCGTATGCTGGGACGAAGTAGGAGAAAGAAGTATAATCGAGCCAGAGTTAGTTCAACAGTCGGTCGAGGCGGTTAAGGTGATTCGCGAGAGGCTGAAAACAGCTCAAAGCCGTCAAAAGAGTTATGCAGACAGAAGGCGAAGGCCTTTGGAGTTTCAAGTAGGGGATCACGTATTTCTTAAGGTATCGCCCATGAGAGGACTATCCAGATTCGGTAAGAAAGGGAAGTTGAGTCCGAGGTACGTGGGACCTTTTGAGGTTTTAGAAAGGATCGGGGAATTAGCGTATCGCCTTGCACTTCCACCGAATTTATCACAAGTGCATAATGTGTTCCACGTATTGATGTTAAGGAAATATGAGCCGGACCCAACTCATGTATTGAATTATGAGGAGATAGAAGTCGATGATAAGGTGTCCTATGTCGAGAGACCAGTAAGGATTGAGGATCGGAATGAAAGGAATTTAAGGAACAAGATGATCCCGATGGTCAAGGTTATTTGGGAGCACCACGGGATAGAAGGCGCGACATGGGAAAGCGAAGATCAAATGCAACGTCAGTACCCCCATTTGTTTGAGTAGTAGTGAGATTGTAAATTTCGAGGACGCAATTTTTGTAAGGGGGGAAGAATTGTGACATCCTGAAAATTTGTCCATTTGGGATTTATGAAATGCTAGGTTTTATGAACGTACTCGTAGTTAGTTCTCACCAGGAACTGATCATTCCTAGGATACTAACCATTAGGGAAAGACTAATTAGGAATTAAATTCGTGCGACTAAGAGAAAATTCGATCGTGAATTGATTTTCGACCATAAAATCGCCGAGGTGACATTTTGAGCCACTGTTGGCCGATCCAAGGATAGCCAGGGGTCAGTTCGCCACTGTCATAGTAGTGGATTGCGGGTGATTCCGCGGGACCACGAAATGAATTGACGGATGATCCTGAACTTATACCAAACGATTGTGCCCCTCGAATCTAGCGGTCGATCCTCGCGATTTAAATGACAATCGAAATCGTCACGAACCGAATGGACTTGCACGTGACTCGATTTATTATCAGTCACGGGTTGAATATGCGAATTTCCTCAAAAAGCCGCCCGTTAGTTTGAGAAACGCTCGAGTTACGTTTTAATAAAATTTAATTATTTATTTGAGCCCAAACTGGACACCGGAAAATTAGGAAGTCACAACGGGACATTAGGACGACGTTGTGGTTGGAACGTGCAGCTTCGGATTTGCCCGAATCCTTCAGGAAAATTTAATTTCGGTAAGAAATGAGGAAAGTGACCATTTTACCCTTGGGGATTTATAAAGGGCAAGTTTTAAGAGGGAAGGGCATTTTGGTAATTTTGCCCTAACTTTTGAGTTGGACAATTTTGCCCTTGGAATTTTATGAAATTCCCAAATTGCCCTCGGATATTTTTGGGCAAGATTCGATCTGGGCCGTCGATTCCAAGATAAGATCGAATCTCGGCCGTTGATTAAAAAGATTAGAGAGGGGCAAGATGGTAATTTGCCGGAATTGGTCAAATTTTGACCATTCAAGACCAAGACTCTCTCTCTCTCTCTCTCCTCATTCTCTCTCTCCTCTTACGTTTTTTTTCCCCCACCGAGAGCTCTCTCTCTCTTCCTCTCCCTCACCGCCGATCAATCCCCTCGCCGAGCCGCCACACGCCGGTCACCGCCCGTCCCCCGTGCCGCCATCGCGCCACCGCCGTACCACCGCCGTCCCCCTCACCCTCTCGATTTTCTCTCTCTCCCTCTCTCTTGGCCGTGCGCTGGCCGGCCAAGGAAGCCGCGCCGTTGCCGTCCGCCCAAGCCGCCGAGCCGCTCGCCGTTCGCAGCCGTCCCCGCCGATCGCCGCCGCTTTCCGCTCTAGCCGCGTTAGTCTAGAGTTTCGGTAAGTTGCGCCCTAAACCCTATTTAGGACTTCGGGTATCGACGGACAAATTGAGGTGTGATCGGGTTTAATTAGGCGCGGATTTGTATGATTTTAGGGGGGAAGTAGATTAACGGGCCTTAGAGATGAATTTGGGAAATTTTGGTGGAAAATTTGGGGTTAAGAGTGGGCTGTGGGTGGTTGAATTGAGTGCTGTGGTGTTGTGTTCGGTACGTAAATTGGATATTTGGATTCGGCAACTAAATGTGAGAAAATGTCGTGAAGGGCTGGAATTGATTCGCCGAAGTTTGGAGGTGGAAAAATGAGAAATTGTATGTTGATTGTGTGTTTGTGATGTGGCTGAATTGTGGTGATGAAATTGGGTGCATTTGTGTGCAATTGATTGATTGGAAATGTGCTTGACTATGTGCATGCTCGGGCCAAATTGAATTAATTGTCAATTGGCCATATTGGATGCTAATTGAGCATGAAATTGTGTGTGAATTGATGCGTGCACGGGCCACGTGTGATTGACCAATTAATTGGCAAGTGAGTGTTGAGCACGTGAATGAGTAAGAGATTGTGTGTGGTGGCATGTGTGATTGTGGAAATCCCTGAAGCGGTACCATTACGCGGGGAATTGTGCCGTCCTGAGGCGTGTACTTTAACGCGGGACGATGCCCGGTATTACCGAAAGACTGCCAACCTGAGGCGTGTACTTCAACGCGGGTTGTGCCGTAGGTGGTGGATGTTGAGCCTGAGGCGTGTACTGTAACGCGGGCAAGAGACATGGCCTGAGGGGTGTACGGTAACGAGGGCCCTAGAGTGTTGTGATGAGTTGGTCGCAGTGGACCTGAGGCGTGTACTGTAACGCGGGTCACTAGCGAGAGTTGTGGAAAAGATGTGATGAGGTTGGAACAAATGCACGAAATATAATTATAACATGCATGTGAGTGAAATAGTGCTGTTATGCCTAACGTGCAGGTTGCACGCTGGAAAGGCCCAGGTAAGCAGAATTGTGTGCTTGCGATGTTATGGTTGAATGTGATTATGTGTTGTGATTGTCTGGAGGTACGTGATAGCCTAGGTGGAGTTTAGGGGTGTACTTATTGAGATGTAATCTCATGATTATTTCAACCAATATTTTCAGAACCCTAACCTGAGCCATGAATCCGCCGCCGCCGCCCCCTGAACATTTTGGAGTTCCGATGCACACCGAGCATAATGTAGTAGAGTTTCCTATAGATGACCTCGATTAAGCATACAACCGTAGTTTTGTAGATATAGGATTATCCCTATGGCAGGCCCATACATATACCGCTTGGTTCTTTAGGGACGGGATAGACGAGTTTGGACCCGTCTGCAGTTTTGACGTCCCCTTTGATGGAGTTGGGGACTGGGACCCGTCTGCTATACCTCCTCCTGATGGCGAGCTGACTAGTGTAGAGACTAGTCTGGCGCAGTTTGGATTGCAGCCAGCGCCTGCAGCACCGGGATCTTCAGGGGCTGAGCACGAACCGGAGCCGGAAGAGTCTCTAGCGGGAGACGATCCAATGGACGTGGATCTTGAAGCGATCCCTGAAGAAGAATCGGAAGAGGAAGAACCCGAGGCTGAGCCTGAGGATGAGCCTGCTGAGTTCGCAGAGCCTGAAGAGGAAAGGGAGTATATACTCCCGTATGAACAGTGGATGGACCCCGAGTTCGTACCTGAGGATGATTTGCTCGAGGAGCCGGTCGAGGAGGAGCAGGACGAGGTTCCAGCTGAGTTGGGTGATATAAACCACCAAATCGAGATTGAGGCCGAGCCGGAGTCCTCGGAGGAGCAGATTGTCCAGGGAAACTCAGATTCAGATGGCGAGCAGTCAAACTCAGAGTGGATGCCTAGCAGAGGGCGTAGGGGCTAGCGTAGGGGTTGGAATTAAACTTTTTGAGGAGTACCATTTTTGAGGATAGGATATCCAGGTCATCGATCCTTTTGATATCGGTGGTTTTATAGTACGGTGTGCATATGTATATGGTGTTTGTAAATTGTGAATATTATATAAGTTTGAATGAGAAATGAATATGTGCATTTTCCCTGATGACCCCAGTTTATTATTGTCTGGGTATTTGAGGTTTCCGCTGATCGTTTTAAATCTCTGATAAGTAAATTGGGTCGGCGATACCCTAGGACATCGCGTTAATCGACCAGAGTGGTGTGTTGCGCGCTCGATGGGGTTCGGGGTGTGACACTGTAAGCCTGGAGGGTTATTGCGACCATTAGAAATCCCTAAATGGAAATGGGAGCATATCACCATGGATTTTGTCACGGGATTACCGAGAAGCTAGAGAGGTCACGACTCTATTTGAGTGATAGTGGATCGACTGACTAAGTCAGCGCACTTTCTGGCAGTGCGAAAGGATTTTGAGTTGGAAAGGTACGCAGAGTTGTATGTGCGGCAGATTGTCTGATTGCATGGAGTTCCAGTGACAATCACTTTGGACTGTGATACGAGATTTACGGCCAATTTTTGGAAAAGTCTGCAGACAGCCTTAGGAACGAAGTTGCAGTTCAGTACGGCCTATCATCCACAGACGGATGGCCAGTCTAAAAGGATGATCCAGACCTTAGAGGACATGTTGCGAGCCAATGTATTGGATTTCCAGGGTAAATGGGAAGAGTAGCTACACCTGGTGGAGTTCGCCTACAATAATAGTTATCAGCAAAGTATTCCGATGGCGCCGTTTGAGGCCTTGTATGGCAGAGCGTGTAGGACGCCAATGTGTTGGGACGAAGTTGGAGAGCGAAGTATCACTGGCCAAGAATTGGTACAACAGACGGTCGAAGTAGTCGAGATTATTCGGGAAAGGTTAAGGACCGCTCAGAGTCGCCAGAAAAGTTATGCCGATCGGAGACGACGACCCTTGGAGTTTCAAGTTGGAGACCATGTATTTCTCAAGGTGTCGCCTATGAAGGGATTGTCCAGATTTGGCAAGAAAGGAAAACTGAGCCCGAGGTATGTCGGTCCATTTGAGATTTTAGAGAAGATCGGAGATATGGCCTACCGACTTGCCTTGCCGCCTAATCTGTTTCAAGTGCATAATGTATTCCACGTGTCGATGTTGATAAAGTATGAACCAGACCCGACCCACGTTCTGAGGTACGAGGAGATAGACATGGACGACAAGGTGTCGTATGTGGAAAGACCAGTGAGGATCGAGGACAGAAAAGATCGAGTGCTTCGGAATAAGACGATCCCGATGGTCAAAATTGTTTGGGAGCACCACGGGACAGAAGGTGCCACCTGGGAAAGCGAAGAGGCAATGCGACGTCAGCACCCCCATTTGTTTGAATAGATAGGTTTAGATTGCAAATTTCGAGGACGAAATTTTTGTAAGGGGAGAAGAGTTGTAACATCCTGAATTTCGACCCAATCCCGAGATCAATGAAATAGATATTAATTCTCATTTAATTTTAGAAAGTCTCGCCCGGAATTGATCACTCTCGGGATACTAACCAAAAGGGAATGGCTAACTAGGAAAATGGTGCGTGGACCAGGGACCCGATCGCGAATCGGGCACCGATTCCGAGAAACGACGAGGAAATATTTTGGGCCAATGTGGGCTGATCCTAAGAAAGTGACGGATTTAGTTTGACCAACGACGTGCGATCGGATCGTGGGTGATTTCGCACGACCGAAAATACGCGTGGCGAACAAATCCCGAACTTAATCTGAACGATCGTAACCTCCGGAACTAGTGATAAATCCTCGCGTTCTCTTGGTAATCGAGACCGTCACGACTCGAGTAACCCTAGGTCGATACGCGTAACCCCTAAACAGCCGCCCGTTAGTGAGAGACCCTAAAATTCAAATGGAGCAATTTTGATCGCGAAATTGGATCCGGACTTGGACGTCGAATTTCGTGGATGTACGCGACTATTTTGCGAGGACGACGTCATTTTAGTGTGGCCAGCTATATTTGGGATCAATACGATCGAAAAATGGAAATTCGGCTCGGAATCGGAAAATTACGATTTTGCCCCTAAGCCTATTCCTAGTATTCCGAATTTTGGGATTAATTGGAGGGTATTTTAGGGTTTAAATGTTAGTCTAATCAGTCCGAATAATTCAGAAAATATTGGACAAATGTGCCCCTAGATATTTTAGCAAGGTTGAATCCTAATCCTTGGTGCAAGGTTAAGATGGTCATTATTGGAAAGTTGTCCACCAACCCCACTATCTTAGTCCAATAATTCATCTCTCTCTCTCACCCTCATTCTCACCATCACTCTTCCGGCCACTTCCCCTCTCCTCTCTCCCTCGCCGAACCTCCTCCTCTTCCTCTCGGACTTGAGCCGCCGATCGCCGGAGGAACGCCGCCGCCGTGCCATCGTCCTCAGCCGCCTTGCGCCACCCCCAACCGACCGTCCCTCACCATCTTGCCACCCTCACGCCTCACTTTCTCCTTCTTTCCTTTACCTCGGCCGCGTGGGAAGAGCCACCGCCGCCGCTCACCGGACCGCCGCTCGCCAAGGCCGATCGCCGCTGCCGTCCGCATGAGCCGTCGTCACCACCACCCGACCACCATTCTCTCTCTCCCCTGTTCGCCATCACCACCAACCAGTACCCTTGTCGCCGTTGAACCGCCCGTCACCGCCGCCGCCGCCCAAGCGCCGCCGTGGAAGCCGCCGCTTGCGCTGCCGTGAACCCGCTTGGACCGCCCGTTCCCGCACCTGTTCGGCTGTGTTTGGAGCTTAGGAAAATAGTGAGTAATTATCCCTAAATCCTAATTAGGCCATTAAGCACTTCTAGATAGGATTAGGGTTAATTAGGGGTTAATTAGGGTGATTTTAGGGGTAATTAGTGGCTGGATGTTATGGCTGTTTTTGTGGTGAATTTCGTGGTTTAATATGCTGATTTGGGAGTGGAATCAATGGCCTAGAATGATCGGATAGGTGGCTGTCCATGGTGGAATTAATTAGATTAAGTTTGGTCAATTTTGGGATTAAATTGTGTAATTGTTAAGAGTGCTTGGATTGACCGATTAGTGGCTGATTTGTGCTTGATTGTGTTCAATTTTATGATGCCATGTTGCGTGTCCTAAAGTGGCCGAGAATGAAGTGGCATGGCGGGCCTTGAGCGTGCGAGTTTGTGTTGTGCTAATTGCATGACTTATGTGCCAATGGTATGCCGAAGCCTAATTACATTGAATTGCTTAAAATGGGCATGTTAATATGTTAATTTGGGCATGTCGTAGCTGATTTGAATCGAGTAATTCTTTGGGCATGCTAAAGTGTTAACTGAGCACGTCATGAGGTGAACTGGGCATGTTGAAATGCACGTTGAATTGGCATAAATGGTCTATGTGCCTATGATTGGAATTGGATGCTCATTGTGAATTGCATTGTTGCTCGAGTGCCGGACTGCTTGGCCACGCATTTCGCATGCTGAACATTGGCTTGAGACGAGAATTGTGTGAGTATGCGTGCCTGATATGAGCATGTGATCACATAAAGTCCTGATGCGTTTTACGCGAGACGATGCCCGGTTCTACCGGAAGACGGCCAGCCTAATGCGTTTTACGCGGGTTTTGGTCTGTATATGGAGATCGGTGTTGCGCCTGATGCGTTTTACGCGGGCTAGAGACACTGGGCCTGATGCGTTTTACGCGGGCCAGGAAGTGTTGGAATTGATATAGACCTGAGGCGTTTTACGCGGGTTGAACTCTTAATGGGAAATTGGCAATATGCAAGATTGCATTGGCAATTGTGCAAGCATGTGCGTATCGGTGACTCGTGTGCGATACAGGCATTAACAAGAATGAGCATGTGCATGGCGTACGTGTGACTAAGCCTATCGCGTATGTGCCATTACTGTGATTATTATATGCCTAATCTGCAGGGTCAATTGTGTGCTCGATCTGGGCCCGAGGGCCTAAGTCAATTGATTGTCAATTGTTACTGGTTGTATGTGTTTTGTTTGCCTGTCAGGAGGTGCATGTTAGCCCAGTTTAGGTTTAGGGGGTTTTACTCGCTGAGATTCATTCTCACGGTTGTTAAAACCAACTTTTCAGACCCTTAGCCCTGAAGATGTCAGCGGTTCCTATACGTTTTGGGATTCCATCCCGGATAGACCGGGATGTGACCGAGTACCCCGTAGGGAACGGGGATACGTATATTAGGCATTTTATTACGGTGTGGGTTGACGTGGGTGAGCAGCACTTTCAGGCCCACGAGTATATCGCTTGGTGTTTTAGGGACTATTCCGGGACCTTTGGACCCCTCAGAACTTTTGACGTCCCGTTCAACGGGTTAGGTGACCTAGATTCCCAGTGTCAGGATGGAGACCTGGCAAGCCCCGAGTATACGTCCGAGGGCAGTTCTAGTTCTGGCCGCCGGCTTGTTATCTGGGAGGTTGACGAGCCAGACCCGATGGACGAGGAGCCGGTGGATTGGGACTCTGACCAGGAGCCGATGGAGTCGGATGAGGAGCCAGAGCCTTTGGAGCAGGAGGGCGACCCTGAGGAGATGGATTTTGAGGAGGAGCCGGCAGAGGCCGAGTCCGAGCTGGATTCCCTAGACTCCGAGGTCGAGCTGTCTGACAGTTCTTCTGAGTCCTCGGGATCCGACCCGGACTGGGTTCTGTAGGGGTAGCCTTAGCCTCAGTTAGATTGGGCCAGTACCTTTTTGACCGGAGCCTCTTCTAGTTTTAGTATCCCTGACCGCCTGGCCACCTAACCCTTTTTGCTAGTAGTGGCCGTTGAACTGCTTTTGATCTGTGGTATGTATTTTCTGTAAATGGATAATGTATATGTTTCCCTATGTTAATGCAAGTGTATATTTGTATATTGATAATCCTGTTGCTGTTGTGCTATCTCTGGTCATGGTGTTTAATTGTACGGGTGTTTTTACGTTACTTCCGCATGTGCAATGATCTCTGTGTTGCCTGATGGGTCGGCGACGCGTCCTGAGACGTCGCACAGCAATATCGACCACGTTTGGGATGCTCGTGCACCGTAGGGTTCGGGGCGTGACACTTGCTCACGTGTTTCTCATGCTCTCAGGAATTGTGTTCTGGAAATTATGAGAGCCCTCTGATAATAAGGCATAACGACATATTTATATCGTATACCTAGGTTAATTAGTCGGGCTTTCAAGACCTAATGGGCTTTGGCTTAGGCTTTATCACTTAATTTTATTTTAATTCCAAATGGGCCGAATTAATCTGGGCTTTTCTCTAATTAAGCTTAATGGGCTGATTTAAGCTCAAATTAAGACAACCAAAGCCTTTTAGACTTGCGATTTTCGGCCCCTATCTCTTGAGTGAACCGAGTTTTGCTCGGTGCTTGAGCTCGGTTTACGTGATGGATTTTTTGCTTACTCGCCACCGCTGGTCTGATGTGGAATGCAATTAACCTACATTATCCTAAACTATATGCTATGCAATTTTAATATTTTTTTAGGGATTAAAATTTAATCCCTAATTTTCTATGCAATTAATCATTAAATGGTTAGTCAAAATTTAGGTGTCAGCAACCATGAGCTTTAATTTATCATAGTTAAGGTTGAAATAGCTGAGCGAAATTGTGCATTTACATCTAATATCAGAACGTATCCGATTGCACTTGACATAACAATGTGATAACTTGCATGTGTCTTTATTAACATCTAATTATTCGATTTTGTCCTCTGATCTATACCCAAAAGAGAAAAGATATCAACTTTGGAAAAGGTTCAATTAAGGCAATATGTGTGCCCAGTAATGAAATAGATCAGTTGCTCATCCCGTTAATCAATACATTACCAAACAAACAACTGTCTTGAGTTTAGTTCTCATTAAGCACATATTTAAAGTTTTGGGACTAGTTATTTCTTTTTTTTGGTGATTTTTTTTTGTAATTTTCCAAAGGGACGCCTGTTTTGCCTTTTGCAAAGTGGCATTCATGTGGCTTATGGCTGTGATTACTTGCATGTGTATTTATTAACATCCAATCATGCAAATTTATCTTCTGATCATTCCAACCCAAAAGAGAAAGGAAATCAGATTTGGATGAAGTTCAATTTAGACAACACGTGGGCCTTTCTTTGTGTACCTAGAAATGGCAATGGAAATATATGAGTTGCTCATCTTGTATATTACCAAAACAACAAGTTCTCTAAGTACTCTTCTAATTAGGCATAAAATCCAGTTTCTTCTTAAATAGCCTTCCATATTGAGCTGACCCATTTATAGTCAACGCACAGTCAGAAAATGCCAATGCTGGTAATACACATTATAAATCAGACCAAACTCATTCTCTCGCTTTTGAAGGTCTCAGTTCAGTGCAATTGTTTGGAAACCCTCTAAAATCTGGTGAGTCCCTCTTACACCTAGAAAAAACCATCCCCATTACTGACCAAGTGAGTTATGTTCTTGATTTTTTTGGTCATTATCTCAATCTGTTTAGAGGGTTTATTACAATGGAACAGTAATGCATCAGTGACTTGTTCATTCACGGAGACAGATCTTTTATGTCATTTGTTTCTTAAGCTCTTTGTGATTGAGGTTTGGATTTTTTTCTCCCCATTTCTTAGTCATGTATTAACAATCCAAAGAGTGTGATTTAGTATTCTTATAATTGGAAGTGTCCTTCGAAATTCGGAAGACGAAAATGTATATATCAAAAAAAAGGAGAAAAATTGTATGTTTCACAAAAAAGAAGAAGGAAAGAGTTGATAAGATTTCCATGTAATTTTTCTTGATGTCATAGTTCTTTGCTTTTTTTTTTCCTCCCTTTTTATGAAAATTGAAAATGTAACAATCTTTCATTGCAATTTGTGTTCTTTTGCAGTATCTATCACTTCCTTCACTTGTAACACCAGGTATTTTTGTTCCCCTTTATCCCTTATTCTCATTCGTGTGCAATGAGGGCGAACCGTGAGAGAACTTTGTTCATAAATTTTATTGACAAAGTCATGTTATTTATATTTTACTATTACCATATTATATTTCTTGAGAGTAGCTATATATCCATCTGTTAGATTTATGTGGGAAGAAGGACACCACAAGTGCCAAAAGTTGTGTATGGCGCTCACTTTGGTGCCAAAAGTTTTTTTCAGATCACTTCAGTGCCAACTCCGGTCCCGAATGCCGGAAATCCGACGTGGCATTATTTTAATATTTTTTTTGTTGACGTTGCTCGCCGAAGATTTGAATTAGCATAAAAAGCCCAAAAACGATGTCGTTTGACAAGTTCACCTACCTACATGACCAAAAATGACGTCATTCAGCAAGAAAATTGATTTTTCTTGCTGAACGACCAACAGATTGGGGACGCACAGGGGGAAAAAGGGAGCATAGCGAGAGAGCGAAAGGGAATTTCTCCCTAGCTTCTTGTCTAGGCAATTCATCAAAACTGCCTTAATGTCCACCGTCAACGAAGTCGATTCATTGAAAAACCTGGCCGCAAACCAGAGGCTTCGTCATATCCATTCTCGACCACACACAGTGAGGAGTTCGAATCGCGGTTGGTATTGCCTCTTTTGCCGGCCAAGTCCCTCGAGGAGGTTTTTGGAGCCGTTTTGTTATGATCTACCCAGAAATCGTGTCTGGCAACTTTCCCTTCACAGGGTATGCGCATGTTTTCCCCTGTTTTGTCGAATCGGTAGATCGAGGCTTGCCGGCCCCGGTTCACACGCGTTTCGAGCCGGCTCATACCTTTCTCTATGTAATCCTAGTGTTTTTTTTTCTAGTTATGGCTGGTTCTGGTATAAATTTGCGCGCCGAATGCTTTCTGGCTCTCGCCTTGCCTGTTGTACCTTAGGTGTTTGATGAAATGTTTAGGTGAGGTTGGGGCACCTGTTCTTGGTTTTCTGTCCAATCTGGGCATTCATTGATTGCTGGACATGTTTCTTGGCTATCTAATTTGATATTGCACCGGTGTCTTTCGTGAGTGGTTCCCACCTGCCCATGCCCTCGTCACTCTCTCCGCCTCCCACCACACCCGCTTCTACTACGCCAAGCCCTCCACTGCCCCCTCCTTCTCCAATCCCGACCCCTCTTCCACATCCAACTTCATCAGTGACGAGCCCCTCCGATCCCAGCCCCTTTTCACTATGGAGAAAAAAAAGAAAAAGGAAAAAAATGACGTGGAGGGAGATGAAGTGAAATTTACACATGGAAATGCCAAGTGGACTAGTTTTATTTTAAAAAATGCCAGCTTATATTAAAATTTTAATTATAAATGCCATGTATTTATTTTGGCCGGAATTTCTCGCCATTGGCACTTAAGTGATCGTTTCTTCTATGATTTGACACTTAAGTGAGTCGGCGAAAACTTTTGGCATTAAAATGAGTGCCGTACACAATTTTTGGCACTTCTAGTGTCCTTTTTCCTAGTCCAATTTTGTTACTGATAACAACTACGAAATTAAGAAGGGAAAATTCTATGTGTGAGAATTAAAGAAGCGGATGAAGTTTCTAGCCAATAATCAATGATAAGAACATTAGAATTGGAAATGTCAATTCTGCAGTCCTTTCGTTTCTTTCTTTGATTCCTTTTTCCTTTCACGGAACCTTACCTTTGTATGGGAACTCAACTTAGAGATCACTTGTGTGTCTATGGTAAACCAATAGTATCTTCCTTTCTCCAATGCCCATATCTTCACTATAGAACTATGTCTTTATGTATGCTTGATTCGTTCAATCAACAATTTATGACTGTCTAAGTACTTTTTCTTTTATTTTGATTTCTTACATAGTAATCATGAAGTCCATTCATGGATATCCAAAGTTGAGCAAGCCCAAGGTCGTGTTTATAATGGGAGCAACAGGAACCGGAAAATCCAAGCTCTCAATCGATCTTGCGGTCCATTTTCAAACTGAGGTCATCAATTCCGACAAAATCCAAGTGTACAAAGGGCTCAATGTTGTCACCAACAAGGTCACTGAGCTCGAGCGTCAAGGCGTGCCACACCACCTCTTAGGAGTGGTTGACGACCCGGATGTCGACTTCTCGGCACATGATTTTTGTCGCGATGCGTTGATCGCCATCAAGGAGATAACGGATCGTGGGCGTGCCGCAATCATTGCTGGGGGATCAAACTCCTTTATCGAGGTGCTCGTGGACGACCCTACATTTTATTTCAGGTCGATTTATGATTGTTGTTTCATATGGTTGGATGTGTCGCCGCCAGTCTTGAGTGTGCATGTGTCGAAACGGGTGGATGAGATGGTTGCCGCAGGCCTAACAGATGAGGTGCGAGGAATGTTTGTCCCTGAAGCCGACTACTCACGTGTTATTCGCCGTGCGATTGGAGTCCCAGAGATGGACCATTTCCTGAGAGTCGAGAATCGTATGATTGATGATGAGAAATCGAAGGAAGTTTTGCTTGACGATGCCATCAACGAGATCAAGGTCAACACTTTTAAGTTAACTTGTCTCCAAGTTGAGAAGATCCGGAGGCTTATTGAAGAGCGCAGGTGGAACATACGCCGCATCGACGCGACTGGGGTTTTCGAGAGTTTAGGGAAAGATGTTGAGAAGGCATGGGAGAGTTTGGTGTTGGAGCCAAGCCTGGCAATAGTTGGAGATTTCCTCAAGGGCCATGAGAAATCATTTAATATGCCAAATCAATTTCGCGCAACCTTGCCTCAAGTTCGCATGGAAATGCAGGTGACTAACTAGAGAGTAATACAACATTCTCGTGATCACCGGCATCATTTTCCTGCGAGTGCGAGTATCAGAGTTTTTAATTTCATTTGCAATTGGCTATCATATATCTGTGGTAATGTTTTGAGATTCTATCTCTCTATTTCCCAACTTTTAAGCATCTTTAAAGCCTATGTATCTCAGAATGGATCACAATCTTCGGAAATTTTATTTAATAAAACAACTTATTTTTCCCTAGAAGTAAGATTTATTGTATATTTTCAGTTAATGGTTTAATCGGGTGTTTCTGAAGGCAAAGCAACTGGTGTTATACACGACTTTATCACAATTATGATTATAATATAGACGATGTATACATGGAATATCGGTGCAGGAGTGGATGAATTTGTTTTCCACCGCAAACACAAAAAATAAAAATAAAAATCGAAGTGCATAATTTGAAATTATTGAATGTTTATCTTCACACTATAACTTTTGATAATCCAAGGACACAGACATGAATACTCCATTACCAGGAGACAATGAAACAACCTGTAAGTCCCATGAACCGGCTAAGGCCTTTGATCAGTGCAGGTGGTCTTGACCTAAAATAATTTGCCCGCAATTAGTGGGTTTGAACGGATGACTTCGAGTTGAAAATTTCCGGGTCCTCAACCAAATTGTACCAGCGCTAGGGTTGACATGCTAAAATTTGAAAATATGGACTTACACAATTGCGCTGGTTATCCCTTTTAGGACGATGATTGCTCGGAAATGAAAATTGAGAGAGAATGATCAAGGGCCAATTTCTTTGGTGCATCAGTTTTTTGTAATACTTGTTGAGGTTAGTTGGCTTATGGAAAACGGTGGAGGTAGTGTTCTAATTGTTCCTTCGTAAACCTAATTTTGTAACGATGCATCTTTGTTTGTTTATACATATGATCCAAGCTATTTCATATAGTTTTTTTTTTTCATATATCTTTTTTTTTTTTCATATAGTTTTCATCACTCACTTGATCCAAGATTGCTAGGATGATATTAATTACAAAGCATGACTTTGTGCTTGTTGACGCCTATATTTTGGCATCCCATTTAGGAATAATCGCATAGAAAATTACAGATTAATATTTAACACATAAACAAAGATATTAAAATTAAATTGCATGTAGATATTATAAGAGTTTGCATTTAGTTGGCATTCTAATTGGACCGGCGGAGGATGAGTTAAAATGAATGGTTCTGAACTTAATTGGTTGGACTGAGCCCATAAAGTGAAAGTCTGGCCAAAGCCCGTCACATGCTTACTTGGCCGAAATTTGCATCGGGGGTGCTCAATTACATTCTTGGAAAGAAAGAAAGATTAGGGCATAAGATGACAATATTCACGTGGGAAAAAGGCATAATGTATTGAAATATTTTCCTAGAAGTCCAACTTCCGTAGAGATATACACGTGAAAGAGTGGACAAAGCCGGAATTCGGATAAAACAAGAAAGAGAGAACTCACGATACATTCTTGACCAAGATGGGCGGTCGGGAACGTGAGCGAAAATATTTGTGGTGATTTGCTGAAGATATCCAGCATTCCTTGGGCACTACTATTCGGCTGTTTGAGGGAATAAGTAAAAAGTGAGTAAGATTTGGAAGGGAGTAAAATGCGGAATTCAGCTGTTTGATGTCGATCCAACGTGGCCGAGCTCCTCCTTCTGTGAAGCCGTTGCCTCAGTGCTTTGGCGACGACGACTTAGCTGCTTTCCCTGTCTGGCGGAGAAATTTTGTGTCATATATGGTAATCTTTCTGATATCCGAATTGGATTCGGAATTTTCTATTTGTCAAAAGAAAAAGGGCTAATACCACGAAAAACCATAAACTGGTATACTTGTGACAATTTTATTTCGAACTAATTTTTTGACTACCAAAAACCCCAAACTGGTACACTTGTGACAAATTTACCCGAACTAATTTTTTGACCACCAAAAACCTCATACTGGTACACTTGTGACAATTTTATGCTGAACTAATTTTTGGGAAAATTTCAAATAAGGACTTGATGTGAAACCGTTTTCCCAAAAGAAGGCCTGGAGTGAACTCTATCTCAAATAAGGACCTAAAGTGATCAACTTAGTCTTAAATAAGGGTCTAAAGTGATTAATTTAGTCTCAAATAAGGTCCTCAACTTATAAACCAGCCAAATCTTATTTTCAGCTAGGGGTGTGACATCCTGAAAATTAGTCCATTTGGGATTTATAAAATACTGAGTTTTATGAATGTACTCGTAGTTAGTTCTCACCCGGAACTGATCATTCCTGGGATACTAACCATTAGGAAAAGGCTAATTAGGGATGCAAATTCGTGCGACTAAAGAAAATTCGATCGTGGATTGACTTTCGACCATGAAACCGTTGAGGTGATATTTTGAGCCACTGTTGGCCGATCCAAGGATAGTCAGGGGTCGGTTCGCCACTGTCATAGTAGTGGATTGCAGGTGGTTCCGCCGGACCGCGAAATGACTTGACGAATGATCCTGAACCTATACCAACCGATCGTGCCCCTCGGATCTAGTAATTGATCATCGCGATTTTAATGATAACCGAGGTTGTCACGAACCGAATGAACTTGTACGTGACCTGAATAATTGTCAGTCACGGGTCGAATATGCGAATTTCCCCGACAAACCGCCCGTTAGTTTGAGAAATGCTCGAGTTGCGTTAAATAAAATTTGATTATTTAATTGACCCCAAATTGGACATCGGAAAAATTTGGAAGTCACAACGGGGCGTTAGGACGACGTTGCGGATTGAACGTGTAATTTTGGAATGTCCTGAATCCTTCAGAAAAATTCGATTTCGATGAGAAATGAAGAAAGTGACCATTTTGCCCCTAAGGACTTATAAAGGGTTAGTTATATTGGGCAAGGGCATTTTGGTCATTTTGCCCTAACTTTTTGGATTGGACAATTTTGCCCTTGGAATTTTATGAAATTCCTAAAATACCCTTGGATATTTTTGGTAAGATTCGATCTCGGCCGTCGGTTTCTAGATAGGATTGAATCTGGGCCGTTGCTCAAAAAGATTAGACAAGGGCAAGATCGTCATTTCTCCTTTTTGGTCAAAATGGACTATTTAGGTCCAAGCTTGTCTCTCTCTCTCCTCTCTCCCCTCATTCGGTTTCCCCCTCCCCCCCACCGTGAATATCCCCCCTCTCCGACCATCTCTCTCTCCCTCCCGCCGTGCCGCGCCGCCGCGCCGTTTACCGCGCCACGCCACCGTCCGTACGTCTGCCGGTCACCGCCGCCGTACCACGCCGCTGAACCGTCCCCGATCCTCACGCCGTTCTATCTCCCTCTCGATTCTCTCTCTGGCCGTGAGCTGGTCGGCCAAGGAAGACCGCCGCCGCTCGCCGTCCGCCGTGCTAAGCCGTTCGCCGCCGTTCCCCGATTGATTTGCCGCCGCTTTCCATTCTAGCTGCTTTAGCCTAGAACTCGGTAAGTCGCGCCCTAAACCCGACTTAGGATATTGGGTATCGACGGGTAATTGTGGTGGAAATCGGGTTTACTTGGGTACGGAATTGCACGGATTAGGTGTAGAACCAATTAGCGGGCCTAGGATTGATTTCGGAAAATTTTTAATGGAAATTTCAAGGACAACAGTGGGCTGTGAGTGATTGTTCAGTGTGCTGTGATGGACCGATCGGGACGCAACTTGGATTTTTAGAACCGGCAATTAATTGTGAGAAAGTGCCGTGAAGGGCCGAAATTGACTTGACGCCATTTGGGTGGAGAAAAATGGCAGATTGTACGCTTATTGTGTGTTTGAACTGCGATTGAATTGTGAGGATGAAATTGAGTGCGTGGTTGTGTAATTACATGATTGAACATGCCTGTCGGGTGCACGCTTGGGCCAGATTGATTTAATTGTTAAAATTGGCCGTGTCAAATGCTGAGTGAGCATGAATTGTGTGTGAATTGATGCGTGCACGGGCCACGTGTGATTGGCCAGTTGAGTGTGGTAAATACTTGTTGAACATGTGTATGAGTGAGAAAGCGGATGTGGTATGACCTGTATTCGTGGAAATTGTGCCGTCCTGAGGCATGTTCGTTTACGCGGGACGATGCCCGGTATTACCGGAAGACTGCCAGCCTGAGGCGTGTACTTCAACGTGGGTTGCGCAGTAGATGGTAGATGTTGAGCCTGAGGCGTGTACTTCAACGCAGGCAAGAAATATGGCCTGAGGCGTATACGTTTACGCGGGCTCGGAAGTGTTGTGGAAAGAGGTCGCAGTGTACCTGAGGCGTGTACGGTAACGCGGGTCACTGGCGAGGCATGTGGGAAAAGAGATAATGAGAACGGAATGAGTGCATGACATGAGAATTGTGCATGCTTGTGATTGTAATGATGTGCCTGCTATGTGATAATGGTATGTGTGTGATTGTGTTTTGTGTGATTATCTGGAGGTACGTAGTAGCCTAGGTGGGGTTTATGGGTGTACTTACTGAGATGTAGTCTCACGGTTATTTTAACCATCAATTTTCAGAACCCCGACCTGAGCCATAAATCCACCGCCACCGCCACCAGAGCGTTTTGGGGTGCTAGTGCACACCGTATTTGAGGTTGCAGAATTTCCTATGGGTGATGGATTGACCTGGATTAAGCATACCACAACGGTTTTCGTAGAAGTAGGACTACCTCTTTGGGAATCCCATGTTTATACTGCTTGGTTCTTTCGGGATCAGGCAGGGGATGAGTTCGGGCCTGTCAGGGGTTTTGATGTTCCATTTGACTTAGTTGGGGATTGGGACCCATCTGCCATACCCCCTATAGATGGAGAGTTGACCAGTATGGAGACTAGTTTAGCTCAGTCTGGGTTGCACCCAGCATCCGCAGCATAAGGATCTTCAGAGGCGGAGCATGAACCCGAGCCCGAAGCATCGCAAGCGGAAGATGACCCGATGGACATAGACTTATAACCAATCCCCGAAGAGGAATCAGAGGAAGAGGAACCAAAGGAAGTGGAGCCCGAGATAGA